CCTGCCCCTGGGGCACCATCGGGGGATGCAGGCAGAGGGCCAGGGAGACGGGCTCGCCTATCACTGCCACCTTCTCTGGGGAGGAGGATGGTGGTGGCCACCGGCTGAAGGTGAGGTGGTGCCTAGCCCGCCCCCAGAGGCAGTGAGCAGGGCAGCCCTTCACCTCTGCGCACGTGGCAACCACTTGGCCTGCTTTTAAGACATGCGGCACCCAGGCTGCACCCCAGATGCCATCAGTCACAGTCTCTGGGGCTGGTACCAGACACAATTTGTTCTGAAACCCCAGGCTATTCCAGACGCAGCAGGTTTGAGAATCAGCAAACCGGCTGTGTGGATAATAGCGTAAATCTGGACGTAGCTTTAAAACAGTGTTAAGTTTAAAACATCAATTATGAGTAATATCATTGCGAATATCAATTATGCCACTAAAATCAGCTTGGGAAGCACCCTGTGTGTTCGCACGGTTCATACACAAACAAGGACGTACCCAGTCGCATTGGGGGGCTACATGGAACTCGCTGGAGGAACAGGGCAGGGCATAAAGCAACGTAGCTGGACCAGAAGTGACCCACTGGAACAGCGCACGTTCCAGAAGTGAGAGGTTTGATGAACTCTGCACCCAAGCTCCAAAAGTAAGCGAAAGTCAGAAGTGGAACCATAAAGGATTAGAATAAAATACGGATGGGTATTTTTACATAGTGTAATCAACATGTCGGTTTGGGCATAAGACATGAAGAAGAGATCAGTGTTATTTTCAGTGTTAAAACCATTTTAGAAAGCTCCGTCTCTTCACACCCGACCTGAAATGCTGTCTCAATCAACAGTAACTTCCTGAAATCCTGGAATCCACTGCCGGCTTCACACCCCTGCCACGCGGAGTTTCATATATTTTAACATCTCTTAGGGAAAGTCACTCCTCCTTACTCTGTCTTTTTAGGACTTCCCTGGCTATTATTGGATTCTTTTCTCCAGATAAACTTAAGAATTATTTTGTTACAAGTTTCCAACGACGACCATTGGGATTCACTTTACAGGCCAATTTGAAGGATGTTCACTGAACACTGGGGACAAGTGTCCCACCTTCTCACGTGGCCTCTGGTGTGTTTGCTTTACCCTTTGTCTTACTGAACATTTCATAAAGCTGGTACCACGTGCTGTTGAAGCCCGAATGAATGAACTGGATCCTTCCTGCACATCACCACACACAGGTGCGGGGATGCCACACCACAGCCTCTGGGGCAGTTCCTGTGGCAGCCCCCGTAGCCCGGCCCGCACCTTCAGCAAACAGCCACTCGTCACACTGGGAGGCGGTCAGGGCCACCACGTCTGCTCGAGACCCTGTCTTTGTCCACGAGGCGCCTGCGACAGGGCAGGAGGGGACACCGTGCTCTCAGGCAGGTTGTCCTGGGGACCTGAGTGCTGGTGAGAGAGTCAGGCTCAGAAACGAGGAGCCCACGTCCGCTCACGGGAAGCACATGACTCCTCCCAAATCAAGTCGCATTTGCAGACAGTTGCTGGGATGGGGTGTAGCCGTCGGATCGGTGGTGAGGGCCCAGTAGGGTGTGGACCCGCACCGTCCGGCTGGTCCACAGGGACCCGCGGGGTGGCTCCTGGAGACCTGCATTCCTTTCGTGCATTTGCTTTTCTTATTTTCATGCATTTATCAACATATCAGTTGTTCCTTCCCTACAGCGAGGACGACGAGAGCAGTTCTCAAGGCGCCGTCCTCTCTGCCCTGGATGGCCGTCAGCCGGGAAGTCGCAGGCTCTGTGGCCCGCATGGCAAACATCTGCTTTGTCCTTGTGGGCGCTGCCTTTTGAAACGGGAATAAGTAAAAGTTGTTCTGGTTCACTTGAGATGCTTTCTTTTCCTCTCGACTTTGGTAGGAATTGTTTCTTCCTGCTGCCATCGAGCTCTAAAAGATGCCGTCAGAGGGAAACGTCAGCCCGCTCCCCGTGAAAGCCACAGCGGCATGAAGCGGGCAGAGAGGGGGGATCAGGCCAGAATGTGTCTGTAAAAACAGCCTAGTCTGAACGTTTTCAAATAAAGGATTCAATTGTGCTCCTGTATTCCTCTTGTGCCATCTTGGCTGGAGGGCCTCGTTAAAGCTTTCCTGGAAAACAATGCGTTCCTCCTCTCCGGAGAACTTTGGACACCCCAGTGGCTCATAAAGGGCCCTCTGTGGGGCTGAGCCTGCGGAGGCGATGGGAGATGGGCCTGGGGGGGCACACCTGTCTCCCCCCCGCCCCAGCAGCTTCCACACCCCTCAGACCCTCAGGGGTGGGCTGTGGGCGGCCGTGGACCCTCGGCCGTGAGGTGAGGCGAGGCCACAACAGTGAAATGGACCCGAGCACCCGAGTCGCGTGGCCTGGACAAACGCACCGCTGCCCATAAGGGAAGTCTTCTCAATAAACGGTGTCCAGTCGACCGAGTATCTGCATGGGAGGGGAACACGGACCTTGACCCACGCTTCACATCAAAAACGAAAATAAGTTTGAAATGGATCTGAAAGGACACAGGAAAATAGCCTCATGACCCGGGGGCAGATTTCTCAAGCCGGGCAGAGACAGCATGACTCAGAAGAAAAGAGGGAGGAACGGGGCAGTATGAAAGTTGAGAACGTCTGTGCATCCAAGACTCCAGGGAGGGAAGGCCAGCCCCAGCCCGGGAGACTCCGGGACACGCCGGTCTGACGCGGGCGGCTGGAGCCCGTCAGGAGGGAGCTCACTCCGGACACGAAGGCACATCCAGGGGCTTTTCCAGGCGACAGCAAGGGGCTCCGTGTCCCATTAAGCCGGGAGACACAGCTCAGACCACAGCAGCAGACTCTGCGGAGGCCGGGTGGGTGGTGGAGCCCGAGGGGCAGGGATGGGGGCCGCGGGAGGGGAGAGTCGGGCCTCCCGCCGAGGCTGCACCCGCAGCCGGTGAGTTCAGGGCCTGGCCATCCCGGGACGGAAGCTGCACCGACCAGAAGCCAGAGCGGAGACCAGCCGCCTCCTGGGCGGGGGGGGGGGGGGGGGGGTGCAGGTGGGGGTCGCAGCCCTCGGCGAAGGCAGGGACGGGGAGCGGGCACCACTTCTGTCTCGGGTCAATCAAGCTGCACGTGGGAGCCGCCCTCCGGAACGTTTACCCGCGTCGAACAGGAGAAACAGACGCACACTGCTTGCCGGTCCTGCCCCGAGCACCTTCACTCCCGAGGAAACCACGCGTGTGTCTGGGGGCGGAGCCCTCCGCCCCCCCCCCCCCCCCCCCGCACCCGAGTGAGTGGGCTGTTCCTGGCCCTGAGCTCTTCGCTCGGGTGAAAAGGGATTGGGAGATAAAAACACACGGTGAAGACGTTCTCAGGGGCACTCAACCACCCGTTTCCAGATTGGGGCTCCCAGGGCCACGGGCAGCCGAGCAATGCCGCCTGCTGTGTCTGGGCAGCCGCGTCCCCTGCCGGAGCCTCGGCCGCGGTGTCTCCCGTGCAGAAAGAAGCAGCGTCTCACCCTGAAAATGGCTCAGTCCACACTGACGCTCGCCATACACTCTGTCTCTGTCTCTCTGTATCCCTCTCTGTCTCTGTCTCTCTGTATCTCTCTGTCTCTGTCTCTTTGTATCTCTGTCTCTGTCTGTCTCTGTCTCTCTGTATCTCTCTCTGTCTCTGTCTCTCTCAGCCTGGGCAGGGCTGAGTCTGCTCTGGGCGCTGCCATGAGGGTGTGGGTGAGAATGGGAATGAAATTCAGCAGGAAGAATCCATGATTCCCTGAAACTCCTCAGAGGAACTTGTGGTCCCTGGGAAGAGGTGGCATCAGGCATCCATGCACATTTCCCAAGGTCACCTCTGCGCCCATCTGAATATACGTGCATCTGAATGCTGAATGCAACGGGCAGAACCCGCAAAGACCTCTGCGTTCTAATCCCCAGACCCGGGAGCAGATACGTTAGGCTATGTGGCAAAGGGGGATTAAGCTCTGACCAGCTGGCCTCGAGGTGGGGATGTGATCCTGGGTCATCGGGGTGGCCCGGTGCAGTCACAGGGGTCCTTCCGGGGCAGTCACAGGGGTCCTTCCGGGGCGGGGGGAGACGGAGAGTCAGAGGGTGCACTCAGTTGCGTTGCCGGCTCTGAGATGGGGAGGGCTGTGAGCCCAGGGCCACGAGGGGCCTCAAGAAGCTGGGAGGGGCGGGAATGGAGTCCCCCAGTAGCCCTGGGGGTCCGGCCCCCTGCACACCTGGAGCGGAGCCCAGTGAGACCTGCTTTACTTGTGGCCTCCGGAGCGGTGGGGCAAGAGATGTGACATTCATACCTGGTCACCAAGGGCTCGGCCACACAATCCATCAGGATGGGGACCTGGGGGGGGGGGGGGGGGGGGCGGGGGGAGGGGAGGCCACGGGGGAGGGGACAGAGCTGAGCCTTCCTCCTCCCTCAGGATCCTTTCCCTGGTACCTTCCCCAGGGGCCCCTCCTGCCAGGCCGCAGCCCAGTTCCCAGGGAAGGTCAGGGTCTTGGTCTTCAGGCGCAGCCCGGCCCACGGGCAAGGGGTCGAAACAAGCAGCTGCCCTACCGATTCCACGCACTCTGTCCTCCTGCGGCCCCTATTGTCTCACACACACGTCCACTTTGTGTCCAAAATGTTCTGCAGTTGCCATAGACACGGAGCCTGTGGTGGCTGGTGCGGGAAGCTGCCCTTCGGGGCTGCCCTGCCTGGTGTCCCCCGTGACCCCTTGCCTGCCCTGTTCTCCTGGGGGATGTCAGACGGCCCGACAGTGTTCCTGGGCGGGGCGGCAGTTTCCCACAGGGCCGCAGTGGGTGGGAAGGGCAGGGCTGCACGGTGATGCCCACTCCAGGCTGGAACTCTTGCTTATCTTCCAGAACCTTCTGTTTATCCCCTTCTCTCTCTCAGCTCCAGCTGATGCAGCTGGAGGGCGGGGTGGGGCGTGTCCCCATGAGGGCAGGGGGCAGAGGGCACGTGGGATACTAAAGGGGACGCAGACAAACCACGTGCCCACGTGTTCACACAGCCAAATGTGCAGACAGCCCGTGTTCCCCAACTGATGCTCGGGTAAGCCGGGTGTGGCCCCCCTGCAGCGGGATCCCCCAGCCGTAAAGAGGGACGGGCTCTGGTGAAACCCCGTCATGGATGAACCTCGAAAACATCGTGGAAGAAGCCAGACACACATTCCACGAATGTGAAATGTCTGGAACAGGCACATCACAGAGGCAGGAAGTGAGTGGGTCAGCGCTGCAGGGGCTGGGGGAGGGGGTGGGGAGTGGCGGGGCTTCTGTTCGGGATGGTGAACATGCTGTAAACTTGGATCCAGTTGATGGCTGTGCAGTGCAGTGACGATACTGAAGCCACTGGAATATACACTTGAGTTGGATGAGTGGTGTGACTTGTGAAAAAAATTAATGTAAGATTTTTCGGTAGATTTTAAAAGATCAAAACAGTATATGCTCAGTGTAGAAAAAATTTTAAATATAGAAAGCTACGAAGAAGGACATTAAAACTACACCTAGGGCTTCCCTGGTGGCACAGTGGTTGAGAGTCCGCCTGCCGACGCAGGGGACGCGGGTTCGTGCCCCGGTCCAGGAAGATCCCACGTGTCACGGAGCGGCTGGGCCCGTGCGCCATGGCCGCTGAGCCTGCGCGTCCGGAGCCTGTGCTCCGCAACAGGAGAGGCCACAACAGTGAGAGGCCTGCGTACCACAAAAAAAACCCCCAAAACAACCACACCTACACCTTTCAGTGTAGGTACCACGTGTTTTCTGGTTTTACGTCTGACTTACTCATGTAAAATTATGAGTGTCTCCTGTGTCAACAGAAAGTTTCTCCGACGGCATTTTTACGTCTGCGTGGGCATCCGTGCTCCGGTCACCAGGCTCCACCAGCTCGTCCCCGCTCGTCCCCCCCCAGGCCTTCGCTGCTGTCAGGACAGCCGTGAAGAACGTCTCTGGGCAACAATCCTTTTGTTCAGTGGTTCCTTAGAAATAATGTCTAGAAGTAAAATTACTGAATGAAAGAAAATGGACTGTATTTTAAAGACCTTTGAAGAAAAAAGGGAGTAAGTGTCCCCAGGCTGTGGGCTCCTTCGGGCTCTAGTGTGATCGATGGCATCTCAGTGAACCTGGTGGATTCTGGCCTGAGTAACGCTGATGTCTCTGACTGTCATTTGGCCACAGCAGACAGCGAGCTGGCCGTTTTCTGTGGAACGACCTTACTGAGGTTAGAACAACAGCAGGGGTTAATGCTCTTTCCTCGCAGACAGCATCTGGCCGCTGGCTCCTGGGATCTGCCTGCTTCTCCAGCCCCTGGCAAGGGCGTTTCCAGGGCCCCAGTGGGGCGCTGCAGGGAGCCAGGGCCGCCAGCTTGCCCGCGGCCAGCAGGGATGGCCCCACAGCACCCCCTGAGCAGGGCCACGCAGACGCCCCTCCAGGGGCTCCCGTGCGTCTCACCTAGACCTTCCCGGCCTGGGGGAGTGCGTTATCATCCTGAGATGGCCCGGAACTCACCCGGGGGGCCACCCGGGGTCCGAAGCCAGCTGCACCCCCTTCTGCCCCCAGGGCCCCGGGATCATTTCCCTTCTCGGGCCTGGTCTCAGAGAAAGCTCCAGGGCTAGTGGGGGAGGCAGGGAGCCTGGGGCGCCAAGGCCTTCCCAGCAGGGCTGGGCGTGGGGTGGGGACCTCCTCCTCTGCACCCAGGGCAGTCACAGCGACGCCTCCCCGACGTGCGTCTGGGTATTGCACCTGCTTTAGGCCAACAGTGCAACCCAGCAAAGGAAACCCTGCCGTGGGCATGACCCCTCCGTCCAGAGCTCGGTGTGCAGAAGCCCACCTGGGGTGGTCTCCGGGGCCTCTGTGCTGGGCCCACCAGGTGGGTGTCCCTTCCGCGCCCTGGTCTAGTTGTTGAGGAGAAGCCAGGCCACACGTGGTTGGCCCCCAGCCACCTGGGCCTGAGCTGTCGGGGAGCACGTCTGTTCCCTACCACTGTTAGGAGTTCACTCTTGCTTTTGAAATTCAGGGGGAGGCCGTGACCTTTGGCTCTGATGTGCAAAGGGTCAGATGGCAGACGTGGGTGTCTGGGGAGGGGACGTGTAGCGGCTCCCTCTGTTCCTTTTCTTTTTTTTTTTTTTTTGCGGTACGCGGGCCTCTCACTGTCGTGGCCTCTCCCGTTGTGGAGCACAGGCTCCGGACGCGCAGGCTCAGCGGCCATGGCGCACGGGCCCAGCCGCTCCGTGGCATGTGCGATCTTCCCGGACCGGGTCACGAACCCGCGGACCCTGCATCGGCAGGCGGACTCCCAACCACTGCGCCACCAGGGAAGCCCTCCATCTGTTCTTAAGGCCTGGAAGGCTTGGTGATGTTGTGCACAGCTGTGTGTGCACACGTACTTGTGTGTGTCTGCATGGGCACCACGGGCATGTGTGTGCCGTGCATAGACCTGTGTGTGTGCGTGTGTGCATGGGTGGGGGCAGGCGCTGAGCCAGCCTTGGGTCCCCCCGGCTTCTTGCCCCTCGAGCCCTGTCGGCTGCTGCCCTGCTCTCCTGGCACCTGCAGGAGGGACAGAGGACGGACCAATGACACTTCACGGGGTGAAGGGCGCGCTGGGGGGTGCAGTGTGGCTGCAGGGGAGGGGCCGGGTCTCCAGCGGGGAGGGAGGAGTGACAGGCGGAGGGAACTGCTGAGATGGCCTTGTCCACAGGTTGGCCCCTGGCCTGGGGGTCCCTGTCCTCTGCTCAGGCCCCTGGTCTCCCCTCCACACCACATACCTGTTGCCCTCTCAGCACGTGTGCAGCTGAGGGAAGTTTGGGGTAAAGGAACGAAAGAATAACATCTTTTCTTCCCCTTCAGCTTTGCTTGGGTCTGGGCCATTGGTGTCTTTAAAGCCAGAGAGAAGCTCTGTTTCTCTTTCTCTTCACTGAAGGAAGAGCACCCACTTTTCCCAGCATGGCTTGTGTGGCTGATTTACAGAACCACCTGGAAAGAGAAAGGTCTGTCCGTGGGCTGTCCCTGCAGAGCCCCCGTCCCCCTCCAGGCTGTGGAGGCAGCACGGGGGCTGGGGGTCCAGGGTCCAGCCCCCGACGGTCAGAGAACCAGCCCAGCGCTCGGGGTACGGTCGCCGGAACAGAGGGTGGCGCCCAGAGCCCAGCCGCTGGGCTCGATGTCTGCCTGGTTCTGGTGAGACACCGGCCTAACCATCACGGCCCTGCATCGGCTTTCATCCTGGACATCGGCGGAGGATCTTGGTACTTATTCTTGTTATGCCTTTAAAGCCAAATGAATAAACCTGTACCCACCCAGGCCACACAAACTCGGGTCCCATGCACTGGTCTAAAGGAAACAAAGTTCTCAAAGCATCTCCTTGGCCTCTCTTTCTGGAATTGCCCCTGCCCCTTGGCCCTCCCTAGTGGAGGCTGCCCTGCCTGGAGCTGCAGGGCTAGTCGGTTACCTTAGGAGCAAAGTCAACTGCCTGAGCGCTGGCTAACCAGCTAACCAGTCCTCTGAGCGAGACTGCCCTGCATGGGATCCTTGCCCACCTCAACCCCACACACAGTCCCCGGAACGAACGCTCCCGGGCTAGAGGGGGCCGCACTCTGCCACACTTCAAGCCTTCTCCTCACACTTGCAATGTTTAAAAGCTTCCCCCCCCATCTATTAAAAAACATGTGTTTATTGTAGAAAAGGAAAAGTCCAGAACTGAAACAAAAGTCTCCCACCCCCAACAGAAGTAACTTCTGCTAACAATTTAATGTGTGTCTTTCCAGAGGTTCCCCACGCAAATGCAGACGGAATGATTTTTGTACAAATAGGATTGTGGCAAAAATATGTTCTGAGACCGGCTGTGTTTTCTCTCAACAGCGAGCCCTGGACATTCTTCCTCACGAGTTGGTGCAGATTCTGACCGTTTTAAGGGCTGCGTGGTGTCCTACCCGGTGGTGTGGTCACTGTGCTTCTTCCCTTTGGCGAGCATTAGGGCGTTTCCAACTATTTCATCTATTAAAAGCAGGGCTGCGATGAGGACACACACGTGCACATGCACACACGTGTGCACCCCCCAGGTGTGTCTGTAGGAAGAGGTCCCGTGGGCGGTGCCCCTGCTTCTCTGCGGAATCCTGGGCCTGACGAGGCCACCACGTTCCGGCTCAAACACCCCCCCGGATGAGCCCGCCTGCTGGGAGAAGGGGTCGCCAAGCCCTGAGGCCCCTTCCTTCTCTGTCACGTGTGTCCAGTGCCCGCCCAAGACTCGAGGCCTCATCACCGAGATCAACAGAACCCCCTGCCCCAACCTGAATCAACCTGATACGTCCAGGTTGCCCCCGTGGAGTCACGTGGGAATGCCTCCCCTTCTAAGCTGGACTTGGAAGATCCTCGGGGGCCCCCTTGGACCAGAGTATTGCCCCGCACCCCCCTAGGCGTTTAGAATGCTCAATTCATAAAGTTTCTATTGACCACGTGATATGAATAGGATGCCGTGTCCTGCCGGGTTCATACATTGAAGCCCTAACCCCTCCGTGAAGGTGTCTGGAGGTGACTCAGGGGAGGTGAGCCCGTGAGAGTGGGGCCTCCTCGGGGGTCAGTGTCCTTGTGGGGCCTCCGCTCTGTTCTCTGCCCATGAGGCCACGGCGAGAAGGCGGCGTCTGCACCCGAGAGGCCTCACCGGAACCTGACCCTGCTGGCACCCGGTCTCGGGCCTCCAGCCTCCAGAACCGTGAGAAATAAGACCCCCGCCACCAGCCTGTAGGTTTCTGTTAGGGCGGCCTGAAGGGATTAAGACACACAGCCTCTCAAGATTCTATATCCACCCGCAGGGGGAAGGACTCTGGACTTCACCTGTGACGCAGGTGCAGGTGGTTCGCCCTGAAAGGTTCGCTGGCTCTGTTCGCTCGCCCATTCACTCGTTCACCCACCCAGTGGATGATTTCTGAGCACCTGTCCTGTCTGGGCAGTCGTGCAAACACTCAGATTCCCAGGCTCCATGGGACTTAGAGTGGCCGGAAGGTGTGTCCAGGCAGTAAACAAACACACAAGGAGGAGGGGGCTTCCTGGGGACCAAGGACGTGCCAGCCACGTGGAGGAGGTGGGGAGGGGCACCCCAGCTCCGGGGCCGCACGTGCAGAGGCGCCGAGGCGGGACCGTGCTGGCACACGTCCTACAGGCAATGAGGCCGCTGTTGCCGAAGCAGAGGGGGCGAGGACACTGTGAGGGGCGTCCGGTCAGAGGGGAGCGGGGAGGTCTTGTGGGTCCTGAGCTGGGAAGTGGCCTTGCCGCCCCACTGGTTAAGGAGTCCCTACGCCTGGAGGGCTGGGCGGCAGCAGCAGGGACATGGGAGAAGGTGGCTGCCCCCCCCGGGACAGGGTCCAGGAGGCCGGGGCCACAGCTGCCACGGGCTGTGAGGAGGGGCTGGACGGCACGTGGGCACCGCAGGCGGAGCACACGGGCCACCACAGGTGTGAGAGGCAGTAACAGCTGGAAGTTTCTGTCGACTTGGGTGGATGCGAGGGGAGAGCTGGGGGAACAGGAGTTGGGCTGGGACCCTCTGAGAGTGTCGTCCCCCCAGACAGCCAGGTTGTGGGGGGTGCAGGCTTTCGCTCTCCTCCCTGTGGTCACATGTCGGGGCCTGGGGGATGCTCCTCAACCGGGTGCCGTGGATGCCATGAGGACACCGCCCGAAATGGGCCCGGCCCGTCTGGGCAGGTCTCTGAGCCTCAGAGGGGTCAGAGCCACCCCTTCAAAGCAAATCCTTTACCTGCTGTGTGCCCTCGGCAAACTCAGAACAGGAACCGTGCAGTGATGCTGAAAAAGCAAAGTTGGGCAGAGCGAGGGCGCCGGCTCAAGCTTGAGGGAGAAGGTGGCTTAAAGCTGGGAGACTCGGGGGCCCCTCTGGCTGCCTGGGGGAGGGCGGCCCCCCGACACTCCCCCAGACACAGCCCTGCCGGGACGAGGGTGACACCCGGGGCTCCATCTCCCCCAGGGGGCAAGCCACGCCCACGCCGGGCCCCGCACAGGTGGGCAGGCGTCTTGGGTGCCAGACAAGCCCAGCGTCCCGCCTGCTGACGGCTGCCTTGCCTTATCCTCACCACCCATGTTTGGCTGGAGAGGCCATGATTATCCCCATTACAGGGGTGACAAGGCGGAGGGACCGCCCAGCATCACGGGGCCACGCAGAGCCCTGACCCCAGAGCCTCCCTCCCACTCGCTTGGCTACACACAGGCAGGCACCCCGGGGCCTTGAGAAACAGTGTACGGGGCCCCCACCGACCACCGACTCAGACTCCTGGGAATCTGGGGGGCTCACCGGACAGGATGAGAGAGGCGGTGCCCCTGCCCCCGCCCGGCTGAGGAGGGAGCAGGTGCACAGTGGCCTCAGAACAGGGGTCGCAGCAGCATGAGAATCCCCTGCCCTGGGCCGTCCCCGGGCTGCATGTTCTCCCACCTCCTGTATGTAGACACCACTCAGGGAGGCGCTCGGGAGACTGGAGGCCTCGCCCTAGGTGCCCCCCATGCCCTACCCTGGCCAAGCTGCACTGGGGAGACAAGAGACCCTCTGTGACCATCAGGCAACAGGAGCCCCGGAACATTCCGGATCTCCCCGTGCTCCTGGTCACTGGGGTCTCTCCCTGTGCTGAGTCACAGGCCTGCCCCCCATGATCACCCAACTGCCCAGCAGGACACCAGATACCCAGATGGCCGGGCCCCCTGCGGCAGGGGCTTCCCCGACTCCCTCTGGCCACTGGGTGGCTGGGTGTCACGGGGCTCGGCGGGTGCGTGGGGCCCGGGGCCCGGCCTCTGTGTCCGCCCAGCCAGCTCCAGGCCCTGCGTGGCCTCCGGCCGTGGGGACTTGCTTACCGTGGCCGGGGGCAGGGGCAGCGGGGGAGGCGGGAGAGAGAAGGCTCTGTGTCGACCCTTCCGATCGCCGAACGGAAAGCAGGTCGTGCCCGGCGCCCCCCACTCAGTGGCCTCCCACAGCCCCCCAGGCTCCTGGCCGCCTCCAGCTTGGGCCTGGCCCGGGGTCTCTCTACTCTCTCTCCCGCCCCTGCTCCCTGACCCGCGTCTCAGCGCTCAGATGTGCACCCAGCTTCCCCGGAGTAGGGGGCCGACAGGAGGGGCCTGGCCCCGGGTTGGCCCTGAAGGTCGGGGGGCGGGTCGAGCTGCTTCCCAGCTCCCTGGGCGATTTACGGGACTGAGCTGAGTGGATGCCCAGTGCGGGGATGGTCTTTCATCCTCCCCCCTCCCCACCCATCCGCTGCTCGCAGTAGCACGCGGAGCAGCCAGTTATCACTCCGTTTCCCATGTCTGCGGGCGCGACCCTGCCCCAGGCAGTCAGGGGTCAGCACGTGAGGACTGAGCCCCCTTTTTAGGGGAGGAGAGAAGCCCAGCAGCCCGGGGTGCCCCCCGTGGGGAGCCCTTGATGGAGGTCCCATCGCTGGGCTCCACGCCGAGGCCTGGGATGAGAGGCCGGGTGAGGCAAAGGGAAGCACAGCTGGGAGGGGCTCTTGTGCCTGTTCTCAGCCCCACAAAACGTGTGGGCTCTTCTGAGTCCTCATCGAGGCCGGAAGGAGGGACTTGGGGAGCAGAGACAGACTTGGAGGCTGGGGCCCACTGGCAGCAAGGAGAAAGAGCCCCGAGGGGCCTGGGGACATTGGGAGGGAAGGCCCCGGATGGAGCCACCTGTGCTTGCCTGAGGGCATCGAGCCAGGTGACCCGTGGCAGAGGGAGGCCCTCCGGCAGCAGGGACTCAGTGTTTAAGGTGCGTCCCAGCTTGGGATGTCTAGGACCCCGGGAAACCCAGGAAAGCAGAGGTCAGTCCGGCTCAACAGCGCAGCACCGCTCGTAGGCCCTACTGTGTGCCCTGAGCGTGACAGGGCCCGCCCTCGGGGGCGACGTAATTCTAAGTTCCCGGGGGCTGGCTGGGGCTCCGAGGTGCTGAGGACGGACTGGACACAGGGGACTGAGTCGCGTCAAGGCCCCCAGCTTCCCCAGTATCCGCCAGCTGCCGGCCGCAGGCTACACGTCCCCCGCCCAGCCCTGCTCTGAGGGGTTCTAGGACTGGTGGCCAAGGGCACCCTTGTCTGGCGCCAGGGTCCCCACCCCCAGCCCGGCGAGAGAATCCTGGCTTTGGGCTCAAGGCCCTTGTGGTGCCGATGAAGGCGATGATCCCCTGTTAACAGCTGGCCCAGCACGGGCCCACCTCCTCGCCTGCATCCTGGCTGTTCCACCAGGAACTCACCCGCAGGGCAAGCACTGGGTGGGCACGGGGCGGAGGTCAGAGTTCAGCCCCCAGAGTTAGCCAGAACGATGGAATTTGTGGTTATTTCCTAACAGTCTTGAGCAAGCAGGAAGCAACTGGAAAGAGGTGGTGACAGCTTCAAACCCGTTTCAGTTTCTTGGTTGATTCCAAGTTTTGGAGGCTTGCGGTCGCGCTGGCCCTGCCTCTGCTGCTGGCCTGGAGGAGAGACGGGGCTGGCGGGGCAAGTGGCCGAGGTCCCTGCGGGAACTAGAGCCAGGATCCCACTGAGGGGTCAAGGCAGCGACAGCAGAGTGCTAAACCAAGCGTGTGGCCCAGGAATCGGGGACTAAGTGCAGAGGGTGGGGGGCCCTGGAAAACACCAAGGGCGCCTGTTCCCACGTGCGTGTTTGTGAGCACGCGTGTGAACGTGTGTGTGTGTTTGTACAGGTGTGTGCACATACGTGTGTGCATGTGAGCACCTGGGGGGAGGAGGGAGGAGGGCCCGCCCCACAATCCCCTTCTGCCTTCCGGCCCCGAGCTCACCCGGACCTTCAGGGGGACATGGTGAGGGCCTCCGCATGGGGCCCTGCAGGACCCGCCCCCCCCCCCCCCCCCCCCAGCCAGTCTCCTGAAGAAAGGCGATGTGGGCCCCTATGTGGCTTATTGAGTGCACGCAGGGCACTGGCCAGCAGGCGGGCCTGGGGCCCGGGAAACCGACTTGACGGCACGGAAGCAGGTGGCATCCTGACCAAAGGGCCGTGAGGAGGCCCCTGGAGCAGGCTGACGGGAGGCTATGTGTGGAACCCCTTTCACCAGGGCAGCTGGTCCAGCCCCATCGAGAGGCAGCCTGAGCTGAGGCCACCCAGCTCCTGCCAGCGGCTCCCAGGGCATGGGCTGACTGGACTCCCAGAGCCGGGAAGGGCGACTCAGACAACAAGCAGGGCTGTGGCCGCCTGGCCAGGCTGCGTCCTGCTTGGCCACAACCCCACAGCCCTCAGGGAGAAAAAGCATGCATCCCCACTCCTCGGAACTGGCCTGGGGAGCTTCACCCTGGAGTCACGTGACCTGGGCCCCTCGGTAGCTGGCCAGGGACATCAGGCGTCCAGGCAGGCGGCAGGGCTTCCTTCCTTCGAGGAAACCGGGGGTGGGCCTGGGCCCATGGAGGAGAGAGGTGGTGACTGGGGAGTGCGCAGAAGACCCTCACTTCTATGTCTCCTCTGATGGGGGCCTTTTGGGAGCCGGGGGTCC